CACAGCAAGCCAAGGACACAGACACAATTACTATCGTCTTGCTGAAAATGAGACAAAAAAAAGGAAAAAAAAGACATAGCAACCTGTCCAAGGCCACAGAGTTGATAAATACAATTCTGATTTGTCCTTTTTATGTCCGTTTTATCGCTAAGATAGCTCTCAGAAGTGGGAGAACCCTAAGGGGTGGGCTCTGTCCATCATGCTGCACTATTGGAAGCCAGCTCTGTCTTCATCGGACCACACTCTAATGTGGCAGAAGCCTCTTTCAAAGCTGCGAGAATCTACAGAAGGGATCTAGTGGCAGAAAATGGGCCTATGAAAGAAACTGTCAGATCGACAGAGGTTAGGTCACAGCACTCCCAGAATGAAGCTTGAAAGTGGTAATTTTTAAAATGCAGGTTAAGTTTTAAAACAAGCAAAAAAGCCAATGAAACATTAAACATTTGCATTGTTATGTTCTCCACAATCCATCAGTTCACTGTAACCCTGACCAGAGAGAAAGCGAGAACATATTAAAACTTTTAACCCAATACTATTTTCTGACAGTGACCTTTTCAAGAATGCAGTTCACTTGAAAGGCATGTGCTGTGCCTACCACATGCACTAGGATGTGACCTGAGAAAAGATATGCAAGGCCCTGTCCTTGCCCTTCCAGAACTGACAGTCCAATGGGAGGTTGGATGGGTGCGATGACACAGGCAGGTAAACTATACAGAAGGTGCCATCCGGACCAAGAGGAGACAGGCCTGCCAGAGAGGCTTCCCTGGAAGTAACGCTTACAGTGTTAAAGGTTACACTTATAATAGCTGGGATATTAAACTGAACTTGTCATCTTTCCCCCTAAAATCCACTGTTGGGTCCACCTGGATAGAATGGTGAAGAGCTCTCCAGCCCACAAAGAAAGCCGGACGTTAGAGCTGACTTCTGCCTCCCTCCACTTCAGTTAGCCATTAAGTCTTGTCTAATTATTTGGTATTATTTTTCCCCCCTACTTTCCACACCTACTACAACCACCTTACTTACATCTCAGCCTCCAGCATTTCTCACCTTAGTAATTATAATAACCCCAAACTGCTCTTTCAATTATTTCTCTTCACTGGCTCAAAACAAACCTGATGCTGAAAACTCCCACTTGACCTGGGCCCTCTCTCTGTGGCTTCTTCCCACGCCCTTCCCTGCCACACTGAACTTCCTGCCGTTTCTGAAAGCGCCACGCAGTTTTGCTTCAATGCCTTCCCTCATGTGGCCTGGTCCCCACGATCTAAAACCTTCCAAGCCTCCTGTGCTAACACCTACGCCTTCTTTAAGCACAGCCCTTCTGAAGAGGCATCCTGGTGGCTACTCCTCCCTGCCCTCCACCCAGATAGGAGGCAGGTCCCAGGCTGTGCTCCCTCACCAGGGCATTTATCACGGAGAATTGCACTCAACTCATTCTCTAATGATCTATCTGCTCATCTGATGATCTACATCATTAAGCTTTGCACAGTGATTGGTACATAGGAGGTAATCAAGAAATACTGCAAGAATAAACTAAATAAACAAGGGAAGATAATTATGTCTGCTGATGAGATAAACAGAGGAGAGGTGGGAAGAAGGGCAGAACCTTGGAGCAAAACCCACCTTCTGTGGGTGGAAGAAAAGAAGCCAGTGAAGCAGAGAGAATGAACAATCACAGAGGTAGGAAGGAAATAGGTGGGATAATACAACAACCCGAAAAGAGACATGTTTACAGAAAGTAGAAATGCCAGCAGCATCCAACACTACAAACAAAACAGGTCAAAGAGGTGTGAACTAAGACCTGGTCCCTGAGTACGAGGTAACATTGAAATGCTGGCGCCCCTGCACTGGCAGACACCATGCTCTCTCTCAGCCAGTGGTTGAAGCGATCTAGGGCGTACAAATAGCCAGTGGTATGAAACTTACCTGTCTAATCTTTCTTCCCCCTGATTAGAAAAAAAATTAAAAACAGAATATACAAAAGAAAAGAAAGTCCCAACATCTAGTTAAAACCACAGTGGCTTGACAATTCTCTTTATGAGTATTCTTGTTAAACACAGTTGATATTATATTGATTTCCACATCCTAATTAGGCAATTTCTTAATTATAACTACCTTCAGTCACCCCAAGTTAGTACTCTCATTATAAATCACTAAATTAGTATTCTAATCTAGAAATAGAAAGGAGGGGGGCGTTACAGACTTAGACATACCAACTTGGTCATGAGTGAATAGGCTTTCTGTCACATAATACTAAAGTTACCTATTAATTTGTAGCAATAAAATTATTTATGCCAAAAGATAACACACAGCCCCTGTGCCCAAGCTTGTCTTCACTCTTTAAGGCTGGACTTTAATCTTTTCATGTTCCAGAGCTTGGCTGCTAAAAATAAGTCAAGCACTGGATATAGACACAGATATAGCAGCTGCTGGATTTTTCCCCCCCTAGGATTCTTTTTAAATCTCTTCAGTTAGAATTATATATACTGGCTTATAAATAATTTAATAACATCTACATTAAAATATTAAGCAAGTCTGTCTGGAATGTGTTATATCTAGAAAAATTGTGGATCACAATTTCCAATCCTCTTCTATGATTTTCTTTTTTCAGTATGGACTGTTTCAGTAGGGGGGAAAAAAGCAAAAAGATACAGTATTTCTAAAAGTAAGAATTGCTAGGCTATGAACACCTGAAAGGCTTTGACATATTGTCCAAGTGAATCTAGGAATTACCCTTCTATATCAATGTAGGAGCTCCATTTCCCAACAGCCTGACCAACACGGGGTATTCTGACTTGTCATCGAAGAGGTAAAAATGATATAATTTTAACTGGCATCTCTTCAACAAGAGTGAAAATTCATAATTGTTCACATTTATTGGCCATTTTGATTTCTTCTTTACCAATTGATTATTCATTTTTAATCTAATTTTCTAATAATTTGCTTTTAAGACTATTGGTTTAAAGAGTTTGTTTTTGTTTTGTCTTTTAAGAATTTGCTTTTTATATTCATGAAATTAGCCATTTCTCACAAATGTATTTCTTCTTATTTCCAGTTTTATTTTATTTATGTGTATGGCATAAAATTTTTAATTCTATATAGTCACATCAACTAATCTTTTATTTCTTCCTTAGAATCACATTTAGAATATTCTTTAAAGAAAAGAATATTCTTACATTTCACATAATATGTGAAATTATTTGCTCAACCTTCTTTGTACTGTACAGTTACAGTGAAATCATATTGGTATCAGTAAGATGATTATTCCTACCCTCTCACATACAATAAGTGATTCTACTTCCCCAAAATTTATAATTACAATTCAAACCATGATCAATATGGAATATGGGTGTAAAATTAAATTCTAGACTTTTCTTAACTCGAATTTTAAGCTGTTAAACAATGAAAAACCAACAGAGTTTGAATTTTGCAAATTCATTCAGAGTTCCCTTTACCCCTTATGAAGACAGATCTCTTGCTAGTTATCACCCACCTCTCAAAAACCTGTTAGGGATCCTTATGATGGGACAGGACTGAATGAAGCGTCTCCTAACTGGGTCCCATCGTATTTTCTTCTTACCTGTTACCACAATTATCAGCAATAAGTCAGACACATACAACACATGGCAAATAATACAGTTACTGCAGTTATAAAGACAGAAAAACAAGAAACAAAACAATACTTGAATACAGAAAGAAGTGATGTAAAGTAGCATTTAACCTGTTTTGGAAGCCAACACAAAATTAAATCTACATATAAGCAGTGATGAAGGTTTTCAATTCTTATCCCCAGAAGAATACAAATGTGCACTTTCCCCCCTGAATTCTGTTTCAATAGTACGTACACTCAACAATCACCAATGCCATCTTGTGGCAAAAATTCACCAGGAGCCTTGGGTCCAATCTTAAAACTATCATCTTTTTAAATGAGGAAATGTCAACAAAAAGAGTGGCTATGACTAAAACTAATTGGGTATAATGAGGCTCCTGTTCTCCTCTAGCTTTAGCTACCATTCTTTGACTGGTTACAAGGTTAAGTGGTTTGAGCAATGGATACTATTCTTTAAATATGAAATAAACCGGGTTGTATCATAATTAATATCTTATGATGGCAACCAAATAAACCATTAAGTATTCTAGTACTTCTACCAAAAGGACAGAGAGAAAAAAACTCATCTGCCTTTTTTTTTTGTTCATCTGCCTTTCTAGGAAGCAAATCAGTTCAACATTAAACCCAATTAAAATCTGCTTTCTTGTAAAATTAGAAGGAAAATGTAATGTATCATGGAATTAACTTAAATTTGGATCATTTTCTCTTTTCCCAAGGTTTTGGTAGCTATCGTTAACAACATGAACACTTTATACTCGCAAGTGTTGAACGTTTACAAAGAGCTTTCACATACATTATCTGAAGTGGATTTGATTCTCAGAACCACCCCTTGATCTGCTCAACAATTATTTGCCGCATCTGCTATGCCTCCAGCCCTGTCCAGGAGGATATGACTCCTCCCCTCAACCAGCTCATCATGGTCTTGCGAGGAAGCAGATGTGTAGGCAAATCATCACATCACAAAGAAGTAAATGCTGCAATAGGGACTATTAAAACACCGAGGAAGGTGTCATTTTAATTTTACAAATAAGGAATCAAAAAGAAAATTAAGTGACTGAGCCAGGATTCTTGCCAGAAACTTTTCCGTATCACTACATCCTTTCCACTACTACACATCTACCCTGTCTCCAATAATTCCCTAGGTGGAGGAAGTGTTTACCTTTGGCAATTGCAAATCTGATCAGATGTTCATCTGTGGTACTTGTGCATAAAAAACCACAAATTCTATGTAATTAATTAGTATTATATGCACATATATACTTAATATTGTGAAGAAGACCACTTTGTGGGCAAGGGGAAGAATTCTTTATTTGCAAAAATGTTTGTTTTTTAATCCTGTGAGTCTTTTAGATCAGTGGTTCCCAAATGTTGGTCTATAGACCACTGCCAGGCTAAGGTGAAGAGTCCCCAGTCCAAGACAAGATGAAAACATACAGGGCAGGCAGCAAGTTTTAAATGTCCCACTTAAAAGCCTGTCATTTCTCAGAGATGAAAAAAAATTTTTTTTTGTTAAAATAATGGGGACAAGAAATGGTAGTTGTGTTTTTTAATATCCTTTCTTGGAAAAAGAGAAAAATTGCAAGTCTCTATTTCTATATGTGTTTAAATATTACAGGTTTATGATACCCAAAAGTCTGTGCAACCACTGCTTTAAACAGCAAGTCCATCACTGAAGCATGCTGAAAAGGATACAGTAAGATGTGTAAGAAGCCTCCCCTGCCCTCAAGAAGCTTATGCCCTAATTGGGGAAACAAGACAGACACACAACACAATTAGAGAGCATCACAAGACAGAATATAACAAGCAATTACCTTAAAACTTGACATTTTCAGGTAGCAAAAGCAGTAAAATGTACATACCCTTTGACCCAGCTATTCCACGTCTAGGAATTTATTCCTAAAGAAACAATCATGGATGCATACAAAGATATGTGGACAGAGATTCACTATGATATTATTTATAATCATAAAAATTATAAATACTTTAAATGCCCAATGGTCCACTGGTTAAATTGTTAAATAAATATATTTAAGTATGCTCATATTCTATACAGCCACTAAAAATTGCATACAAAAATATTTACAAACATGAGAAAACATTCACAACATGTTACGAATTATGAAATAGTATTTCAGTGATACTATTTGTGTATAGAAGGCTATCCATCACATTTTAATTGTGGTTATTTGTGGTCTACTATTATGAGTGATTTGGGTGTTTTCCCTTTGTGTTGGTCTTCATTTTCTAAACTATCTCACTATAAGCAGGCATTATTTATGGACTGGAAGAAAAACAATACCATGTTACTTTAGTTTTTTTAAAAGCTAAGATGGAAAACATTGGAAAGAATCATACCAAACAATGAACAGTGGTTACAATTAGGATTTGAGCAATCAGCCCTTTTATGTTGTCCAAAAATTCTAGAATGTAATTATTCTTCTGGGGTAAAAAGACAGAAAATTGCTTTAGGAAAACACTGAAAATTATTGAACCAAAGCTGTAATTGAAGATCCTTTTTGATGTATTCTCAGAGCTTCTGTCAGACATCGTTGGCGTGTTTCTTTCTCAACAGCCACTGAGGCTCTGTCACAGGTACGAAGCAGACAACGTGGGACCCAGGTTTCCATCCTTCACTCAAAGAGAAGCCAGCAACAAATCAGGACAGGAGTGGATGTCTTTGTTCCTTTTACAGGAAGCTCTGTTCCTTTCCATATTTCACATAAATAGATTCTGAGCCTGACATTTTTGCACACTGAAATTTAACTTTTTGTTTTTGCCAATCTTTATTAGTGATGGCTTTTATTCTTCAACATTTAAAACACACACACACACACAACTTTAATTCTTCAAAGATAACGTTCATCTTTTCTACCAGCTCTTCAGTTTTTCTCCTTTTTAGTATGCTTATCTCACCATCAGTTTAACAAAGGCAATGACGGGATGGATGGTAGGATAATGATACTGTAAGTGCCATCTCTTCCCCCTCAAACCAAAAAAACAAAGAAACTGACTCACTGTCATGAGTGATACCCACTCATCCTACAACTGCCCCGGTGCCTTTCTGAGACGATCGCTCTTGACAGGAGCATAGAGCCCCATCCTTCTCTCCCTCCCCTCAAGTCTCTCCAAAATGCAAAAGGCATTTTTAAAGACCCATAATCAAACGGGTTAAAGAAACCCAAGGCAGATGAGAAGCTAATAGAATCAGATCCAAAAGGAAGCTGCGGTCCTCCTCACCCAAAGGGGGAGAGGGCTTCTGCCCTCGGGTCACGCCATGTACACAGGTGGGAGAAGCAGGAAACATGGAAAACGGCTTCAGTCTTACAGCTCTTTTAGAATCTGGCTAGCAGGTTTTCCAGGTTTTTTTCTGGAAAACCTCCCCTCCCCCGCCCCCAACAAAAACAAAAACCCGGCTTCAAGTACAGCTGGTTGGGAGTGAACAGATGTCATAAAGCAAGCCCACCACGGCCACCTGTTTACCCATTTGGGTCCAAAAGTATAGAACGATTTGCCTCTAGGGGAGAGTGGAACAGCAGCAAACAACAATAGCTGTCACACCCCAGGTAGGCGCAAGACAGAGCCACCCTCATCTCTACTCAGTCCCTCCCCACACTCCGTGCAGATGTGCTGCGATGGGCAGGCCCGGCGTTCACAGGAAGACCCTCAGGACTCTCACAGAGGAGCAAAAGCCAAGACTCCACTAGGAAGACAAGGCAGTAAGTAGTGGGGTACACAGAACCACCTACCCCCAGAGAGAGTGAATAGATTGAAAATTGGGGGGGGGCTCCAAAAAGTGTGTTGAAAATGGAATTGAAGGATAATGGAATTTCTCCCAGAACTTTCTAAAGCCCCCTCAAGAGTATAAAACTTTGGAAAAAGCATATTTAATATCCTCAGAGATGTGTAAAGTAAGATTATATTTATTAAAAAGAAAATCAATTGAAGCTCATAGAAGTTAAATTTTTTTAAGAAGTTAAATTTTTGATACTTACCTAAAAAAAAGAAAATCTAAAAGACTAAGGACTGTAATAAAGTTAAAAGAGTATTAAATTAGTAGGTCAAAAAGTGGAGCCAAAAAATTCACCATAATGTAGCACAAAAAGGTCAGAGAGGTAGAAAAAAGTTTTTTTAATTAAGGTACAAAAATAATTGAGCAACCACTATCAAAATATCAGCTGCCTTTTTAAAAAAAATAAAGGGCTAACTCTCATATTCATACAGAAAAACAACCCAAAGCTAAGCCCACTGCTGTCAAGTTGATGCCCACTCATAACGACCCTACAGGTCAGGGTAACTTCCCCCCAAAGTTTCCATTGCTGAATGTCTTCAGACACACACTGCCACATCTTTCTCCCACTGATGGGCAGGTACTCACTGAGCACTTTAAACATTGTGCCACCAAGGTTCCTACAGAAATACAAAGAACCCAGAATATCAAAACAATCTTGAGAAGGAATAGTTGAAGGCTCTTCCAGATTTCAAAACATCCTATAATGGTATAGTATAGGCAGACCTCGGAGACACTGGGCATAAAGAGTCCAGCCCATGGCAATAAGACCAATCTCACAGCAAAGCAAGTCACATGAATATTCTGCTTTCCCAGCACATGTTAAAGTTATATTCATGCTATCCTGTAGACCAGCAGTTCTCAACCTGGGGGTGGAACGACCCTTTCACAGGGGCTGTCCAATTCATCAATTCATAACAGGAGCAAAATGACAGTGAGGAAGTAGCAACGGAAATAATGTTATGGTTGGGGGTGGGGGGGTGTCACCACCACATGAGAAACTGTACGAAAGGGTGGCGGCATTAGGAAGGTTGAGAACCACTGCTCTAGATTATAAGTGTACAACAGTATTATCAAAAAGTTTGAAATATCATGAGAATTAACAAACTGTGACATGTAAAATGAGCACAGACTTGCCATAAATCTTCAATGTAAACAAACAAACAAACAAACAAAAAGGTAGTATCTGTAAAGTGAATTCAGCAAAATGCAATGAAGGAAGGTATGCCTGTATGTGAGAAGATGAGGCTTTCTACCCTTGTAAAGACTTACAGTGTCGGGCAGGTCTATGCTGCCCTACAGGGTAGCTATGGGCCCGCGGGGATCGGTAGTGAGTATGGTCTGGGGGCTGATACTCAAGACAGCATGCTACTGACACAGGAGAAATACACAGTTCAGTGGGAAAGACTTGAGAGTTCAAGTTTAAACCCATTCATTTATGGTCAAGTGGTTTTCAATAGGATGCAAAAGTATTCAATAAAGAAAATCTATTCTTTCAACACATGGTCCCAGGGCAGAAGTACATCTACATAATAATAGTAACTCAGACCCCTACCTCACATCATACAGAAAAATAACTCAACATGGATCAAAGACTCAAGTATAAGAACTAAAACTCTTAAAAGAAAACATAGGTGTATATCTTTATAACGTGGGATTAAGCAATGGTTTCTTAGATATGGCATTAAAAGTAGTACAGACATCAAAAAGCTTAGAGAAGAATCCCATTATCTTTTAATTCTACTAAGGGTTTCATTCCCCCCCCCCAACCATTTTATTAAGAGCTAATCCAGACATCATACCAATCTATCATTCAATCACATCGAGTAATACTGTACATCTGTTATCAATAAGGTGTTTTTAAATAAAGAGGAGGACATGAAATATGTGCCTAATTGCCTCCATGAACAGCTGCCTCCTTTGCCATGAGATGAGAACTTGGATGGTGTCCAGCTAACCATGACCGAACATTTCGATCAAAAGCTGAGTCCTGGTCAAAAGGGGAGAAAACAAGAACAGGATTTCAAAGTCTCATGTATATACTTTTTAGATCAGCGATTCTCAACCTTCCTAATGCCACGACCCTTTAATATAGTTCCTCATGTTGTGCTGACCCCCAACCATAACATTATATTCGTTGCTACTTTATCACTGTAATTTTGCTACTGTTGTGAATCGGGCAACCCCTGTGAAAGGGTCGTTGGACCCCCAAAAGGGTCACGACCCACAGGTTGAGAACTGCTGCTCTAGAGCCATGGGACTAGATGAATCCACAAAACTACAATCCTGGGATAATCTCTAAACCTTAAACCAATAGTAACTCCTGAAGTCTACATACCTAAGAATAGTTTTGCTTAACTCATAAAAAATGTCTGCCTTGTGCAACTACCATATATACTTGTGTATAAGCCAAGTTTTTCCAGCACATTTTTAATGCAGCTTTTGTGGTAAAATTAAGTGCCTCGGTGGATATTCGGGTCAGCTTATACTCTAGTATATATGGTATGTTCTTTTAAAAACCATCTACTATACGTCACACTGGCCATAGCAACTTAAAAATCTAGATGAGACCCTCAAGGGCAGTGCGTTTGTGTTAATGAGGGAAGAACAACTCAGGGAAGGAAGGTGAGAATGGCTGTCAAACTCGGAGAATGTACTCACTTTCACGAACTTGTACATGTCAAACTGTTGCTATGTATATTCTCAACAAAATAAGTTTTATAATTTTTAAAGAATAACAATCACAGGTCAATATCTCTTGCATACATAGGGACACAAATTCTTACAAAATATTAGTAAATGAAATCAAGTTATATTAAGGACAACATATTATGGCCAAGCAAACATAATCTAAGAATTTAAGGCTAGTGTAACATTCAAGAATCAGCCATTGTTAATTTACCTCATTTAAAAGAATATGGAGGGAAACCCAAAGACAATTTCAATAGATACAGAAAAAGAGTCTGATAAAGCTCAGCCTGGAAACTGGAAAAACGAAAGTTCTTCGACCTGATAAATTATGACCTTTACTAAACCTGCAGCGAATTGACTGAGGAAGCCCTGGAGGTGCAGCAGTGGAGCACTCCGCTGCCGGTTCAAACCCAGCATACAGCTCCATGGGAGACCCAGCATTTGCTCCTGCAGAGACCACCACTTAGGGAACCTCACGGAGCAGTTCTCTTCTGTCTCCACCAGTCAGAACCAACATGGCACTTACTAATTTCACTCAAAGATAAAACACTGAACACTTTCACTCAAGGCTGGAAACAAGACAAGAATGTCCCGTATCCTCACTTTTCTCTAAAATTAAGATGTTTTAACTTGACTATAAATTTTAAAAGTTACTCTATTCTGAGTACTGGAAATTCTAGCTGGTGTAATGAGGCAAGAAAGAGGGAAGGGGGACAAAGACTGGGAAGGACAAAATAAACTGTCTTTATTTGAAGATAACATGATTACATAAGTAGAAAATCCAAAAGAATCTACAAATAATTAGAATAAGTGAATTTATCAAACTTGCTGGATGCAAGCTTAAAATACCAAATACAACAGTACTTCTATAAACTAACAATTATAAAATGAAAAAGTTTAAATACCATTTAAAATAATGTTTAAAAATCATAAATAGTAAAAACTTTCATTTAATATCTAAGAATAAATCTAATTGGTAATGTGTAAGACCTCTAAAGACTGAGTATTCAGGAAATTAAACTACAGAAGTGATTCCTCTTCAAAGAGAGCAGGAAAACACCCACTTCTTATGTTCTTTCAGACCACTTTCTCAGCCTCTAAAACCCTACGATCATTTCATGAATTTATAATGATGCCCTTACAGGAACTGCTGCCTGTGTGCACACAGAAGAGCCATTTGCTCCTTGGGAAATGTAACATGAAGATGGTTCTGCTCCGTAGATGATGCTGATGTTAATATTCAAAAAGGCTTAGACTATTTGGGGCCAATGGTTCAGCTAATACAAGTCACCAAAGGCTTCGTTCTATGAAAATTTGACTATAAATTTAAAAAGTAACCCTTCTGATTTTTTTAATCATTTTATTGGGGGCTCTTACAACTCTTGTTACAATCCATACATCAATTGTACCCAACAGATTCGTACATATATTCCATGGTTCTTTTCTACACATTTACTTTCCATTGAGCCCTTGGGGATCAGCTCCTCTTCACTGGCCCCACCCCTCCATACAGCCCTCATGGCCCCTTGATAGATTGTAGATTGTTAATTATTTTCAAATTTCACACCCACCACTGTTTCCTATCCCCTCTGGTTTCTATTGTTCTTCACCTTGGATAGGGGGTGTGTGGTTATGTGCCATTCATTGAGATTGGTGCCCCCCCTCCCCATCTCTCGTCCCCTTCCCCCTACCCTTTTCTTCTGATTTTCTTTTCTTTTTTTTTTCTTCTGATTTTCTTAATGACTACTTAGACTTATTGCAAAAGAGACTGAATTTGGTTTTTTATCAAATTGATAAATTCTATTTTATCCAAATTGATTATGCAGTCTTTAACTCAGCGGTTCTCAACCTGTGGGTCGCAACCCCTTTGAAGGGGTAAACAACCCTTTCACAGGGGTTGCC